CAGTATGTAAATTAGGTACCGTAAGTCTAATACAGTACTGTAATTTTATACATTTCTTGTGAAAGAAACATTTCTTATTCAACGGCGATTAAAATTATTTATATTAATGATGTCTCCAAAGTTCTACGAAGTTTTCACAGAAAAATAAGTTGTTAGAAATCGGCCGCCATTTGCTGAGTTGTTCCGCGACGAAAACAAGCTTTAGCAATGGGGATGTCTAATAGTGCACACTCGGTAAGTAATCCTACAATTTTTTGTTTATAGCGTAGTTTATATGGATTATTTCCAAAAAAAATATACGTATTTTGAAAATGTTGAGTCGGATTAGTCTAGAATCGATTAATTTTATGGAAGAAAACCTTTCAATCAGTCGTAGTCCGTAAACTTCACACGTGTCGAGCTGTGATTGGAACGACTCGTAAGAAATCGGATTCCTAAAAAATGAAACGTATCTATGATCTTATAGGGGGGGGGTCGACTGTATAGTGTCCCCTACTACAAACCCACAAACCTACCAGTAAGTAGAAAAAAAAGAAACATTGATCTATATTTAGATAAAACAAAAAGAAATTAATTTACAATAAACTATTTTCACAAAATTTTCTTTAAATTAGTTTCAACTAACATAACAGCAATGATTATACCATTTTAACTCTAGACCCCATATAATATAAAATAACATTCCAATAGAGCAGTGGTTCCTAATTAGTTTTTCCTGCGTACCACTTCAAGAAAGAGCTCAAAATTGTGTATCCCTTATAGCAGAAATTTATATTAATCCATACTAATATAAATTCGAAGGTAATTCTGTCTGTCTGTCACCTTTTCATGTGTAAACCGCTGAACAGGTTTTAATAAAATTTGGCACAGAGATAGCTTACATGTTGGAGATGGACATAGGCTACATTTTACTGTGAGAAAATACCTTACTCCCACGAGAAAATTCGATATAATGCGGGTGAAGCTGTGGGTAGACAGCTAGTGATAAACAGAACAAGTTTTTTTACATTTATTACCTTTAAAATACAATTCTAATAATAATAATAATGAAAACAACATAAGGTTATTTAATTTTAATGCTAACAGGTTATTTAATTTTAATGTTAGCGGCTTCGCTGACATGATAAATGTCTTTTAGGTCAGCCCAAAAATTACTCAGTGATTGCTCTGCAAAACAACTCTTGAGTCTGCTGTTGCATGAAATGTCTATTAATTCCTCTTGATCAGAGATGGGAAGGTGGTCGGTGGAGTTATTCGAAACAGTGACAAAAATTTTCAAAATTAATTTTGCGAAAACAAATTGTGTTAATTGTACAATTTTTGTTTCTCGCGTAAGAATTTCATTTAGGTATTGTCACAAATGCATTTTTTTGATGAAATTTTGAGAATATTTTTAGTTATAAACAAACAAATTTGTGCATTCGACGTCATGTTGTAAATTGCTGAATTTTTGATGGTCAACCCATTATTTTTTTGATTGCTTCATCTCATGCATCTAAATTTTAAATTGACTGATTTTAGATTGCCGCGCATACCCCAGGAGTACACATACCACTAATTGGGAACCATGGCAATAGAGCAGTGGTTCTCAAACTTTTTTTGCAATGGAACCCTTTTACATTATTTGTAATATAATGGAACCCTTATTTAAATTAATACTTATTATAATAAAAGAAATATTTTATTTGAATCACACCATAAATTGGAATATTNTTTGTTTCTTGCGTAAGAATTTCATTTAGGTATTGTCACAAATGCATTTTTTTGATGAAATTTTGAGAATATTTTTAGTTATAAACAAACAAATTTGTGCATTCGACATCATGTTGTAAATTGCTGAATTTTTGATGGTCCACCCATTATTTTTTTGATTGCTTCATCTCATGCATCTAAATTTTAAATCGACTGATTTTAGATTGCCGCGCATACCCCAGGAGTACACATACCACTAATTGGGAACCATGGCAATAGAGGATATGACTCATGCATATTTTTGATAGGAAATATATGGCTTCTTTCATGACAAAGTTTGGCCATTCCTGATATGTTACATTTTTATTAGATTATTATATTTTATCATTTTAAAGACATTTAAAACATAATCAAATATTTAAAAAAACATATCTAAATTAATAACAACATATCAAGATAATGAAATATATCAGATGTATAAAACAACTGTTAAATAGTTCTTTTTCATCTGGCTAAATAAACATTATAGTTATTCCTAATATGGATGCATAAAAAAAGCAGAATAATTGGTTATTATTGTATAATACATTTTATCTAGAAAAAATTAATGAGTTATTATTATTTCATTTTTTAATATAATTAGATAAAAACATTTCTGAAGAAATTCATAAAGCTACATACAAGTCATAAATATACATAAAAAATGAAATAACTATTTAATCTGTTGACTCATATATATTTTAAAAGTTTTGAAGTAATTTTATTCTACTAAGTTCTGAATACTTAATATTGTAAGCATCACTATTTGGTTTTTAAATTGTATTTGCTATATAATACAGTATTTCAACAGTAGTATATATATATTATTTTAAAATAAGAAAATTTCTAAAGAAACTTGCAAAAGTTCAATTTTAGATAAATTCAATTTAGATAAAGTTCAATTTTAGACAATTCATAAATAACAATTATTTATTATGACTTCACAATGCCAGGCTTCAATTATTAACCATATTTTTAATTTATTTAATTTAACCTGTCCTGCGTTGTTCCAAAAATATTTGTGTTGACCTCACTGACCTGCGTGGGCGATCCCGAATATTTTCGTGTTTACATCGGAACATTTTTTATACTAAATGTCGCTGTGTCACAATTTTTATATTAAAACGAACTTTTAAAATATAATTTTTTTTGTTTCTATATTATTCAATATATTTATTTCATTTGTAAAACAAAAAAATAATTTTTTACGATACAGTAAACACTATTATTTAAAAAAAAAAAAAAAATTTAGGCTTAACATCAACAAAAATTCAACATGACGTCACAGGAAACAAATAAAAATTTCAACATCAAATAGGTTAAAATGTATGCTATCCATCTCAAATTAGTAATGTCTTGCCCCTGTACTGTACATCATACTTTTCCTGTTAGCAATACAGCCATGCCGGTCATCCTCCTTTCAGGGAAACATTTTTGAATTAAAACAACGAGACTTTTGGTACAAACTGAAAGTTTGTATATCAAGGCCTCCCATCCCCAAGCTTTTTATATGTGGTCTCAACTTTCATCTATCTAACTCTGTTCTTGAGATTAAGGAAGGACAGTGGGAACTTATAGGTCTACAATTTTTTCAAATTGCAGCCCAATAATTATTTTACTTACACAATAACATCATTCAATGATTTCTGCTGTACACAACAAATATTTAAAAATAGTTTCAAATTAAATTTTTGACAGCTACAAAGACTATATTTTCATTTTCTCATCTTGTGATAGTGTTTGCAATGTTAAAACTATAAACAGTATATTAACAGACATTTAAAAAATAAAAAAATTCAAAAGCTTTCTAAATCAATGAAAATATTATGTGTGTTTAATAATTCAATCTCTCTACAAATAATTACTTGTTGCTTGCTACATTATTATCATTATTATTATTTATAACAAGGCTGTTAGTATTTTGTGATCAATAATTCTAATCATTCTAGATTTCCAAATCTTATTTTCAGAAATAGTACTGATGAATGTTTAGGGTAAAAACATTTGCAAATAGTCTATAGTAATAAATAATAATTATCCTTTGCATAAAATTGAAATTGAATTTGCTACAAAATTGAATTTTACTGCATTTTTAAATCCTCTCAAAGCAACCATCTCAATTTAAATCTATACTACAATTTATCAGGAATGTGAAATCCGGAATTTTTACCGAATTTTCCAATTAATATCCCGCAGTTTCCTAACCCTCCAATTTAATTTTCCTTTAAACCCTAAATGAAAATCTAATAAAAAAAAAAAAAGGAAAAAATTCCAATCTTCCCTTTTCGTTTGAAGTAAACATCCGTCCATTTCGAAACTAATCCCACATTCCAACTCCAAAGTTGATAGTTAGCATGGTCCCGGGGACAACTTTGACCCATCCACGTACCTTTTACCTCACAACAATTGGTCACATGACCATTCTCCCATGACGAAACTATAAAAACCCCTTCCTTCCCCTTCTCGGGGGAGTCGTTCAAGAACCGGCGCAAGGTGAAGAGAACAATTAAAAATAGTGTCCTTTTTTTCCATTTGTGTTAGCGGCTTCGCTGACATGATAAATGTCTTTTAGGTCAGCCTAAAAATTACTCAGTGATTGCTCTGCAAAACAACTCTTGAGTCTGCTGTCCTCCATCTAATTTGGATAATTTTCCCTTACTGGGATAACGNGAAAATATTATGTGTGTTTAATAATTCAATCTCTCTACAAATAATTACTTGTTGCTTGCTACATTATTATCATTATTATTATTTATAACAAGGCTGTTAGTATTTTGTGATCAATAATTCTAATCATTCTAGATTTCCAAATCTTATTTTCAGAAATAGTACTGATGAATGTTTAGGGTAAAAACATTTGCAAATAGTCTATAGTAATAAATAATAATTATCCTTTGCATAAAATTGAAATTGAATTTGCTACAAAATTGAATTTTACTGCATTTTTAAATCCTCTCAAAGCAACCATCTCAATTTAAATCTATACTACAATTTATCAGGAATGTGAAATCCGGAATTTTTACCGAATTTTCCAATTAATATCCCGCAGTTTCCTAACCCTCCAATTTAATTTTCCTTTAAACCCTAAATGAAAATCTAATAAAAAAAAAAAAAGGAAAAAATTCCAATCTTCCCTTTTCGTTTGAAGTAAACATCCGTCCATTTCGAAACTAATCCCACATTCCAACTCCAAAGTTGATAGTTAGCATGGTCCCGGGGACAACTTTGACCCATCCACGTACCTTTTACCTCACAACAATTGGTCACATGACCATTCTCCCATGACGAAACTATAAAAACCCCTTCCTTCCCCTTCTCGGGGGAGTCGTTCAAGAACCGGCGCAAGGTGAAGAGAACAATTAAAAATAGTGTCCTTTTTTTCCATTTGTGTTAGCGGCTTCGCTGACATGATAAATGTCTTTTAGGTCAGCCTAAAAATTACTCAGTGATTGCTCTGCAAAACAACTCTTGAGTCTGCTGTCCTCCATCTAATTTGGATAATTTTCCCTTACTGGGATAACGAAGTAAAGAGGTATGGAACCAAGTCCTGTAAACTCTCTCTCGGCCGCTCCGCGCTTTAGGGACGCGAACTAGACGCTGTAATAACCGCCATTAGATTTAATAAATTGTTGTTTCTTGTTAAATTTTGCCTCTTTTACTCGTATATCACCTGTCATCTTACCGACGGCACTCCTCCCTCCGCCACTCGATCTGAGAAATAAAACCCGTTAAGGTGGGCTAAATAAAAAGACAAAATTTTGACATCTTGACAGTGATCAGGTTTAACGACCTGTTGCCGGACACTCTCCCTGGCGGTTCACAGAAATATCTAATTTCAAACCTAACACAATCTTTGACATTAGCATATGATGTTTTTTGAAAACTTTTGTTATTAGTAAAATGAAAAAAAAAAAAAAAAACCAATTTTAAAATATAAAAGGTTATAGATAAGTTAGTATCAATTACGCATAAATTTTATAATCTGATCTCATATTATTTTAATGGAAACTTACAGTTACATAGCATTTTGATTTAATCTTGTCAATCCAAAATCCTCCTTCTACAATTGTTCCAGTTTTCTGTAGTACTTGTTTTAGCTGTTGAAGAGTGAATGGACGAACTAAATTCTTAATATGAATAATGCATGATGGTGGATTCTGTGGTGGAGTGGGAGGATGAGGACTTTCTTCTTTTGATGTATCTTCTTTTACCTGATCAGCTAGAAAATAATATTTAATCAGTATTTAATAATTTTAGTTTTATATTAATAATTTAAAATTATTACAAAATTTAAAACATTAATATTTATAGTCAAAAATAAAAAAGTAAGTTTTTTTTGTTAGATATATAAAAAATTTTATAATTTAAATCAATTCAAAAGTAAAAAAAACAAATAAGAATAATTTACTTTCACTTATTTCTGGAATTCCAGGAATTTCAGTCTGTTGATTATTTAATTCCTGACTTCCAAATAAAGCTTCTTCCTCAGGTGTATTAGCAGTAGGAGTTAATTCTTCTGATGATAAAACAACATTTTTTACTACTGGTTTGTAATCAGGTATTAGATCCTGAAAAAATAACAAAAATAAAAAACTAAGATTGTCAATTCACTAGATATAATAAATGCAAAAAGTTGCAAAAATAATCTGCAAAATAATAAATATAGAAAAATGATAAATATTGTTCTTTTCTGAACTATATGTATACATTTATGAATTCAATTATTAAATTCAGTATATTTTTTTAGAACATCTTTGGTTTTGGCTTTATTTATCAAATATAATTGAAGTATTAATAAATGAAAAAGTTTTGTTTTGTAGAATTCAAATTTTTACATTACTTTAAATACACTTAAAACTGGTGCAAAAATTTATAGAAATTTTGCATTAGTTTTAAGAATATTTTATTAAAGAAAAATGAAATAAAATTTTCTCCAAAATCAAATTTTATGAATGAAAATGAATTAATCTTGTGGCCAGAAGCAAAATGACCTGTAGGTGAAATCCTAAACTCTACTGCCATTATAATACAGAAAATATACAGTGCTGGACAAAAGCATTAGGTTGTTGTAAAAAGTGCAATAATTTATTATAATTGCTATGTATAAATAAAACAAAATGAATGATGAGAACCAATGGCATAGGAAAATATTTGCATAAAAGAGTTTAAAAAAATCAAGTACAAGATGTGTTCCATGGTCTGTTGCTTTATTCAATATACAGCATCAGACAAATCACGAAATAATTTGCATACATCTCTAGCTACATAAACCAAATTAACATGATGTCAATTATCACTCAGTATAGGAGCAAACAGATAGCAATTAACATGCCAAAAGGCAGGCAGGCATGGTCTGAATTCAAGAGAGGACAAATTAGGGTAATGAAAGAATATGGTAAAACAGGAGCACAGATTTCTGCTGTCATAGGACATTAGAATACCACTGTGAATGCCTTCCTACAAAATCCAGCTAAATATGGAACAAGAAAGCAGTCAGGAAGACCAACAGAATCAAAGAAACAAGCAACATCTCTCACACATTATAACAAATGCTTCTTCTCAGAAATAGTGGCATTTATAGATACCTCCAAAACAGTCCAAAGTGTCTTAAATGCCATCAAAACATTATGCTTCACAAAATTTAAAAACTACCCTCCTTTCATTGCAGCCCAGAAAAATGCACCCTTTGAAGAGAAATTGAATTATATTTTTACAGAAGAAACGTTTAAATTAAATAGCTTCTGTAACAACAAGCAGTATTTCTCAAAGCAACTGTTTAGAGATGGGTCAGTGATGGTCTGCAGTGCATTTGCTGCTGGTGTTGTACCAATTGTGACAAATTCTACACGAATAACTTCATTATATCAGGATATGCTTGTGGAATATTTGCTAACATAATCACTGTTATGTATGTCTAGCGAATGCATTTTTCACAAGGATAATGCTCCATGCCATTATTCCACAAGAACCAAAAAACAGTTTCAGCCAAAAATATTACTGTTCTGAACTGATCAGCATAAAATCTGAACCTAAATTCTATAGAAAATCTGTGGGGATCTGCTGTCATGCAACATTTATGAAAATGGACACTGTCAATTCAACACAAACAATGGCATAGACTTCATGAGGGGAACTTGGATAAAAGTTTATTAGAAACCTTCACATCATCCACGACAGATGGATTGCTGCAAGTACTACTTAACCCTTTCTTCACGAGGGTACCAATTCGTCAGCACCCTAGTAAAAATCGATTTTTGTAAAATTTATTGACAACAGATGTCAGCACTTGACAGCAGCATCTTGTCTATCGTCTGTTTCACATATTGTTGTCCAGATGGTGTTTTGTTGACTTAAAAAAAGCATTAATTAAAATTTTTTTTTTTTATTTTTTCCTGATAATTTTTTATTTCATTTTTAGCATATTCATGCAATAATATTACTATAATAATTTTATTCATGCTATAATAGGTCAACATGTTATAAATTTTCAAGTTGTGACCTTCAGTTCTGGCATTTTATATATTTTTTATTTTAATCTAAAATATCAGTAAATGTTACATGTATTACTACCGGTAATCATATGTTTATTACAAAATTTATATTCTTGTTCGATATGAAGTGAATAAAGTATATTAGTTCATTATATTAGTTGATAGCAGAATGCAGTTTTGATTTCAAACAAATGTTTGATATAATATGCAATAATTTCACAACGAATAAACGTACATGCATAAGTATTATATAGAGCTGTATTCTACAATATTCAACGTCTTTCTGGCTCAGTGCCAGCAAAAAACTAGGTAACTAGACAATGTTAATTTTAACAAAAAGTACAAATTATCAAGTTTAAATGTCAGTTCTGATATATAGTAATTCTTTTCTTATATATTTTTCTAATAAAATGTATTGAAAAATATCGTATTTAAAACTAAAGATATTAATAAATGTATGCAATTTTTTCATATGAATATAATGATAATTTGATTTTTGGTGAATTTTTAAAATAATATCACCTGACTGACCTATATTGCTTTAAGATAGATTACAAAATAAATGTAAACAGATGGTAGTGGTAAAAGGTTAAAAAAGGCATAGCAATTGATTTCTAATGTATCAATCAATACTTTGTGATGAAATTCAGATACTTCTGTTTCAATCTTATAATTTTGTCCAAGATGTGTGTTGACTTGAATTAAAAGATAAAAACACACATCTTATACTGTTTTTTTTAACAATCCCTATCAAAAACAATTTTCCAGTATCATTGATTCTAAAATTTTTTCTTCTTATTCTTACTTTGCTGTTTTAATAAATTATCACACTTTTTACAACAACCAGCCCTGTAGTTTGTTGTAATATTTTACTTAATTTTTGAATAAATAAGTTAACTTGTTGATAATTTTATAATTTTTCTAGACTGAGTAAATTGATGATGACTGATAAGACCTACTTTACTCCTTCAATGCTCTGCAACATGATACATAATTTTGATTGTGACAGTTACCCTGCAGAGTCAGTGAAATTCAGTTCATAAATATATATTAGATTAATATAACTGATTAATGGTTTAATCATCATTGTCAAAAGGAACAAAATATAAGCAAAAAGCAACCTGTTTTTTTCTTGATTAACTAAAAGCAATTAATAATCAGCATAACTAAATACTGTTTATTAATCATTAACAAAAGATTTTTTTAATGATTAATAAACAGTACAAATAATAATCAAACTGCATTTTGTCCAATGGAATTAATCTTTATGGTCTTTTAAAGTTTCAATAAAATTAAAGAAAAGTGCAAAGACACACTACAGTTAAATTCAAAAGTTTGACAAATAAAACAAAGTTTTAAAAGAAAGAATTTATGTAATACAGTGTTACCTCGGTATACGCCTGCTTTAGAATACGTCCTGTTTGGCCAAAAAAAATTTTGCTCGGTATACGACTTAATTCAATTATATGCGCCATCTATGAACAAGTAGCACTATCAGTGTACTAGACCAGACTAGACGTTCGCAGTGCAACGGTTTATAACTTTGTTAAATTTCTTCTGATTTTAATTTGTAAATAAAATTTTATTATTTTTATTAATCACAAATTGAAAAAAAGACAAATGAAAAGCAACAGAAAATAAAAATAAAAAAAAAATGACTAGAATCACAATGGAACTGAAAAAAGAGATTGTTGAGAAAAATGAAGGTGGCACGCGTGTTCAAGATTTAACTGTTGCACACCGTATTCCGAGAATGACGATATCGACAATCGTGAAAAACAAAGACATTATTAAATCGGCTAACGTTGCGAAAGGAGTTAAATCAATTTCTAAACAGAGATCAAAGACATTAGATCATGTTGAGAAATTACTTTTGCTTGGATAACTGAAAAACAGTGTGCTGGCGACATCCTATCAGAAGCAATTATTTGCGAGAAAAAGATGCATGTTGATCTCATGAAAAATCAAGCAGGAACTAGCCAGGAAAGCAAAGTGTTTAACCCCTTCTGAGCCGCGCTCGAGTGTGACTCAAGCAAGTTTTATAGCGTTACGTAAAAATCGGTCGTTAAGGCCACTTTTAAAAAAATTATTTTTTTTTGAATTTTTGGAATGTATTTTAGGTCCCCAAATTTTTTTCAGAATTTTTTGCGCACGCGAAAAAATTTTATCGCGATTTTAATAAGCCTTTGATAAGGCTCGATTAAGGCTTAATGTTTTTTAATGGGAGTTTTTTTTATCAAAATTAATTAATCATTCTAAAGTTGTAGTGCACCGATTTTTATTCGGTAAAGTTTTTTAAAGCTGCTTTCTGATGTCAAAAACGACTTCCGATAGTTTTTTAATTTTTTTAATTAATAGATTTTATTATATAGAAGTTTAATTAATTAGGGGGGGGTCGGAAATCTCAATAAAAATTATAATTTTTTAAAAATATTTAAAAATATACCGCCAGATTGAAGTCACCCTACTTCAAACCCTTGTCCTCCTGCGATGTCTATGAGAATGTCCCGGGAAATCCGACTCCAGCTGTGTTCAAGGTCATCCAGCTGTGTAAACAATAACTCATTGGTGTTAAATTTCGCAGAAAGGACAGACAAAAAAACTTAGACTTTGAAGCTTTTTCTTCAAAATTAACGCATTTCTTTCGTTTTTTTTTCAGTTTTAAGTATTTTTTATGCTTAATTAAAAATTCTAAAAAAATGGGCGGCTCAAAAGGGGTTAAAGTCAGCAATATTTTTTTTACATGAGAACGGATTAATCATTTTTACATTACTTCTTATGAGAAAGGTTGGTTCGGTATACGTCCTATTCGGTATAAGTCCAAACATCAGGAACGGATTATGGTCGTATACCGAAGTTCCACTGTATTATATAAGGGTCGGTCAGTTCTCTCTTATTTTACAAGAAAACTAAATTAAATTTACACAGCATGTAGTATAACTTTCCTAAGTTCTCACAGAATTTATCAGGGTCTCCTTTTCAAAGGGATTCTCACACTGAACTTTCTTTAATGGCCCAAATAGATGAGATAATCTGATAATACTAGGTTAGGACTGTATGGTGGATGAGGCAAACCTCCTATTCATTTTTTGCAATCTCTCAAATGGTTTGCACACTAGTGTGTGGTCTAGCACGACCATGCAAAAGAACAACACCAACAGGAGCTTTTGTTGGGTGAATTCACCAAAGATATGTTTTATGCTTATTCATAGTGCTGACATATTGAATAGACTTTATTATGCACCTGTGCTCCAAAAATCCACTAGAATTACACCCTTCATTACAACCAAAACACCGTTGCCATAATTTTTCCTGTGGATGACACACTTTTGAATTTTTTTCTTCCTAGGTAGTGTGTGTTGCCTCTTGGATTCAGGTTCAAAGAAATAAACTAGTCTTATCCCATCACAATTTTTGCCAGGAACTCCTTCTCTTCCATAATGAAGTGATGCAACAGATCAATAGCTTTTGTTTTTCTTGCTTCTTTATTCTAGTTAGTGAACATTTTCAGTAGCCACCATGCAAAAACCTTTGAGTAGCCTAGTTTATCAATAATGTACATCACACTGCCTTTATCAATGGTAAGCATGCAGCACAATTCATCAGTTGTTACATAGCAGTCAGCACAAATGATCTCATTGAGTTATTAATGTTCTATGAAATCACTGCAGTGGCCAGTCAGCTGCTTCACTTTTCATCAGCCAAGGTTTGCTCTTCAGCTTCCATACAGTCTTCTGTAACCCAGCATTGTTAGATGCTGGATTATGGAGGACTGTTGCATTCCCATAAACATTCTTCAGCCTTTCATCAATGCAACTCAAGGCTGTGACACAAGACGATTTTTCACCCTGGAGACATGTGTCTGAGTGACAAAAACCTGTTGATGTTCAGTGGTCTGGACACACATGGAGATAAGTCGCTGGAGTCATATGTTCAACATTTCTACCTGGTAATCATAAATTTTTGCTAATGGCACAAAATTATGTATCTTTGAGTACCTTGTGTTATTCTTTAATAGTGTGGTTATACTGTAAATTGTTTCTTATGATTGAATTAATAAAGTTAAGCATCATATCCTATTAACTGTCGATGAACGACTGTCCTCCATTTTTATTTTTGTGCTGTAAACAAGAGTTATACTCAGATGATAAATCTATGTGCACTCATTGGTTACAGTGAGCAACAGGAGAGTTAAAGCAATTTGATTCCCCAATGACTCATCTTCCACTGCCCAAGAAACATGTTTTTCTATTACCTGGTGATATGTTCCCACAAAAATCATCTAGTATGTCATGGTTTTAAGTGTTTTACCTTCTACAATCAGGAATTCTATCACAGATTGCTATCTTATACATATGTCAATATCAGCCATTTTCTAAAACAATGCTAAGCTGTAACCTGTTGACTTACAAAGCTGTTATTGTGAATGATGAAGGTAGGGGAAATTATGCCAAATTCAAATTTCTCACATTACAAACTTATTTAATGAGGGAAAAAATGAGACATTACTTTTTGACTGTTCCTTGTATGTTCATGTTATCAACAAGTTGTTACACAAACCTTTTCCAACTTTTCCAATAAGAAATCCAATGATAATTACAAAATAAATCTTTCACAATAAAATGCAATTTTTACCTTAAGGGAATCAGTCGAAATACTAACAGATGGCTTAGTTGCCACTTTTGTACTTGACCCCCATCTTCTTTTCCTTTGTGGTCTTTCAGAATTACCAAGAGTCTGATTTTCTTTTCTGGATGCTAAAAGTATTTTAGAAATTAAAAATTTATCTTGCTCATTGAAATATCTCACTATGTGTTTTAAAAAGTAAATAAAATTTAATAGGAAAACTAATTAATATAATCATAATAAATATAAATATAATTAAAACTATGATCTATTTTAAATTGCTCAGTAGTTCACAGTAACTAATGAGTTTTCTCATCTAGATAAGGTGGTGACTACCAAGAGTTTATATTATTATTATTTTTATTGAGTTTGGTGAGTTATACTTAGTTGACACAGGTGGCTGTGTACTATGCCGAAACACAGTCAAGACATAGTAATCAAAACAAAACAAAAATTAAATAAGTGTGTCAGTGTGTGTGTGTGTCTGTATTCAGGAATTTCCTAACAATATGACATGTATTCAATATAGTGGCCTTCTGTAGTATGATGTGTTTCTATTCAATTGTAATGTGCTCATGCTTTTGTGTAGTGTGTGTGGTATAGGAGAGAATAACAAGTACAATAAGCACCCTATCCATCCTCCACAGATGCCTTATTTCTTGGGTGAGTTCTGTGTACTTGCAGATTTTTTCAGTGCATGTATTTTGTATATTGTGAGTGTTTGGAACAGATATGTCTATAATGTATGTGATTTTATTGTGTTTGCCAATGAGTGTGATGTCTGGTCTGTTGTGGTAAATTGTTTTATCTGTGATTACAGCTCTGTCATAGTACATTTTGTGTGTGTTGTTTTCCAATACTGTTTGTGGAATATACTTGTAGCATGGTTCATGGATGTCTACCAATTTGTGTTTCTTTGCAAGCTCTTGGTGTATTATATCTTGCAAGCAGAAGTGATGTGTTGTATGGTTTCTGGCATGATGTAACATTTCTGCATGTGTCATTCGTGAATGTTGTATCTTTGAGTATGTGTTTTCTATAGTTTTTAGTATTTATGACCTGATCCTGTATGGTAATCATAAATCCTTCTGTCTTCCCAAAAAGGCATCCCTGAGCTAGCCAGCTGTTTGAAGCAGTTTTGTCAACAGAATCCTGGGCCAGGTCATAGGGATGCCTGCCATGGAGTGTCTTTTGAGTCCACGATTGCTTAATGGTGTCTATGCTTTTTATATGTTGTGTCAAATCTGTATGATGTGAGTGTAAATTTAATGTTTAATTAAAGTTAGTACTGTTTAGTTGAATCTTAGAAACCGAATTTAAAAAACTGGTCCATTATTTCCAGATTCTCTTTACATATGCCATTATTATTTAGAAATAATCTATTATATATAGAAATAAAATCATAATTTTGTATTTAATAAAATATAAAATCTATGTTTTATCTAATTCAATATTTATTAATAAGGTGTTACATGAGTCAAATCTCATCTATATACAACCATGTTACAAATTACTTAAATAAACACAACAAACAAATAGTATTTTGGTTATACTATTTATCGTAAAAAAAATTATTATTTAGTTTTCTACTGATTGGTTAGATTATTAATTTATTTATTTATAAAATGAAGATAATAAATAAAAACATTGCATACATGATAAAGATAATTTACGTGTTGTTATTCTTCGTGACTGCTCTTTTACTTCTTTATCCTGTAAATAAATATATATTTTTAATAAAAACAACTGTTTTAAATAAAATTTTAATTAATATTTGTGGTATAATTTTATTCCTATCACAAAATAACTGGTGATTCAATACTTCATAACAAAATAATTATAATAAAATTTGTTATTCCAATAAAATTTCTATCATCTTTAATATAATAAATTTCCATTCTCATGTAATGACATGCAGAATAACTAATTTCATTGTAAACTTCTGTCAATGATTACAAAAGACCAAAGCAGAATATTAACAAAGAAATAAATAAAAATATAATAAAGCCATCTTCTGTAATAAAAATTGCTTTCAGTTCCTCTTCAGTTTCAGTACAGTAGAACCTCATTTAACGAGCATAATTAGTTCCAGGATCTTACTGGTAATACGAAACACCTGTTAAACGAAACAGTTTTTCCCATATAAATTAATGTAAAATACGATAATGTGTTCCATGCTGAAATAAATACTCAAATATTTTATGTATAATGTTTATTTAGAGACAATTATACAATATACATTGTTAAGGAGCATGAATCATCATCTTTTCTTCTAGCATGAATGAACTAACCTGAAATTCGAATTCCATTAAAAAAAATCACAGATAATATGTCTGATAAACATACCAAAAGATATGCCAAATTCTTGGGCTATGTAAAGGCTATAATTAAATATTAGAGGTTGTGGCCGAAGTTTTCATCTCTGAAACATGAACGTCAAACGTTGAGCGCTGCCATATTGTAAGTCTGGAAGTTTAACAATGGTGTTTGGAACGTCATTGGAATCGTGCTCAACATTCCAAATGCTATTGTCAAACTTCTAGGCTTACAAAATTTAATAGTTATATATAATTAATTTTTAATTTAGACATTTCTGAAATTTAATTTGGAATTAGTTATTAAATTTAATATGAGATGGCAGCATAACTGACTACCTCTAGTCAAATTAATTAATTTTTAATATTTAATTATATTAATAATTATAGCCTACATAGTAAAAGAATTTGGCATATCATTTGGTGTGTTTATTATGTAATGGGCTATGGTTGTTGATGTTTATACATAATATGTGCAAATACAAGTTTGGAAAAATGTGTGATCATAAGAAACACTAAGATGCTAGCGGAACAAGTGCTAAACACAAACTGATGGAGCATGCACAGAATCCAGGACTTCCTCTTTTCTTGACACTCATTAAGCAAGTCATGTTTTAGAATTTGTTTTGTTTGTTATGCGAGGTTCCACTGTAATACTGATATTAAACTGATATGACTATAAAGAAAATTAAATTATTTACAGGACAGCAAGTACTCACTTAACTTCATCAATAGGTTCTTGAAAACTGCAATATATTGAGTTTTCAATATAACAAAGCCAATTTTATTATTATCTATTAATTTTCCATCGCTGCACAACAATACAAACTTAAAAAGGCAGCCCGAGCTACAACCCAAGTAATTATAAATGAAATCGCTGCGTTTGATTGCGTCACAACTTTTTTGTCGCACAAGAAAAAAACACAAAAATAAATTATGATAATACAAATTGTGTAAATGATAAAATTTTTGATAACTGCATTTTTATATCATTCAGGAATTGACATCAATGCATTTTTAAAGTATTGTTATGTAAAGATTTTATATTATGAAGAAAACAAATTACATAATCGAGAACATGTAAATTGCCGAATTTTTGATGATCCATCCATTATTTTTTCGATTACTTCATTTCATGCAGAGAAAACATATATTTCTAAACTATCAGCAAAGAATTTTGATGGATTCTATAATATTCTGAGCGGTGTCAAATTTTTATATTAGATGATCGATTTAAGCCTAACACATGACTATATCACATAAAAAATTAAAAATAAAATTCATGTGTAAAAATCTAATGAAACTATCTATTAAATCATAAAGACAACATTCTTATGAGTAAAATGAAATAAAACCTTTGTCAATTAGTAGATTTACAACCCAGAAAAACACATCTGTTAATAGAGCCACAAAACAATTAATGTTTATTGACTCTTGCAGTAGGGGTAATGTGAGGTCTGTTTAAAAAATCTTTTGGCAGTACAGTAGTACTAAACTTCTACTAACTTCATACGAATGACTCATCTTTCTTCTCCATTTACCAACAAACCCGATGACAATCAGGGAAACATGAGATAACTTACAGCGAGTTGAAATTTGATATGTTTATTTTTTGCGTTTTTTTCATCAAATTATGTAAAAATAAATATTAAAAAAGCAATTTTGTCAATATACATGTAATGTATACCACTAAATAGAAAAAGAAGTGCAGAATTCGACAAAAAAATTATTTCTTTATGAGATAGATAAAATTGAATAATTTTATATTAAAAAAAACACTGGGTCTAAGAGATCCATGTGACTCAAGTAAGGAAACCATTCCTAGCGACTCACAAACTGTTAAGTACCTTCTCATGGTCACGCCAGTGCTGCCAGCTAAAAACACGCACACCAACAAAAATAATATTGGAATAGCCCAAGACATAGCCAAAGATTGCAGCGCAATAGCACTAGTGGAATTTAAATTTGCCAAGTGGAATGCTTTTAGTTAATTGACGTTTCAGTTGATCGACATTTGGATAATCGATGCTATACTGTAATTTTACTTTATTTTTGATTGTAATTATTATTTTTATAATACAGGATGTCTCAAAAGTCACAGAAATTTAAAAAAAAATCAATCTCTCTCAAACTATTTACATGATGCAGTTTTCACAGAAACACTTAGAAAGAAGCAAGATTTTTTTAGGTGTAATAAAAATTTTAGTACCAAAATTGTTAATTTCTTGCCATTAGATGACACTTGATAAGATTACATAATTTGTGTAGTTGTTACTAGAGCTTACACTAAGAACATTTTTATATTTTAATTCTTATTTTAACAAATTTACAAATGTTCAATATGGTGCCCATCATTCATGAGCACAGCTGTTAGACAAGGTATGACACTATAAACAGCATTAAAGAACATTTCAGTTGGTATTACTGAAACTTCATGTTGGATAGAGTTCTTCAACATGGATAATGAAGTTATCTGATGTCTATACACCTTTGACTTGGCCCATAACCAAAGTCACAAGGTGAAAGGTCTGGAGACCTTGGAGACCACTCATGTGGAGAAAAGCAACCGAGGACATGGTTCTCTCCAAAGATTGTCATAAGCAGTTGTTTGGCAGGAGCAGAAATGTGTGGAGGTGCTCCATCTTGCATGAATGTTATACAGGTAAGTTCTTGCCTGCTTTCAGTTTCTTACAGCACTATCTAGATGACCATCTAATGGCAAGAAATGTAACTATTTTGGTACTAAAATTTTTATTCTTTCTAAGCATTTCTGTGAAAACTGCATCATCTTACTGTAGATAGTTTGTGAGTTATTAATTTTTTTAAACTTGTCACCCTGTATATATATTACAGGTATACCTTGCTTTACGTCGGTAATTGGTTCCAGGAGAACGACTTAAGTCAAAAAATGACGCAAGTCGAATTTACTTGTCTCCGAATCTACTTGCCACTAGGCTAAACCATAAATTACCAATTCCCGTTCTGTATTTTATTTATTAATGCATTTTTAATAATATATGGTTAATAAGGATCTATTTTAAGCTTACAAACAAATAAATTTTAGTTTTTAATATAGTACAATCGTTTGGTGTGTTTATTATGTAATGGGCTATGGTTGTTGATGTTTATACATAATATGTGCAAATACAAGTTTGGAAAAATGTGTGATCATAAGCAACACTAAGATGCTAGCGGAACAAGTGCTAAACACAAACTGATGGAGCATGCGCAGAATCCAGGACTTCCTCTTTTCTTGACACTCATTAAGCAAGTCATGTTTTAGAATTTGTTTTGTTTGTTATGCGAGGTTCCACTGTAATACTGATATTAAACTGATATGACTATAAAGAAAATTAAATTATTTACAGGACAGCAAGTACTCACTTAACTTCATCAATAGGTTCTTGAAAACTGCAATATATTGAGTGAAAAATATACTGTATAACAAAGCCAATTTTATTATTATCTATTAATTTTCCATCGCTGCACAACAATACAAACTTAAAAAGGCAGCCCGAGCTACAACCCAAGTAATTATAAATGAAATCGCTGCGTTTGATTGCGTCACAACTTTTTTGTCGCACAAGAAAAAAACACAAAAATAAATTATGATAATACAAATTGTGTAAATGATAAAATTTTTGATAACTGCATTTTTATATCATTCAGGAATTGACATCAATGCATTTTTAAAGTATTGTTATGTAAAGATTTTATATTATGAAGAAAACAAATTACATAATTGAGAACATGTAAATTGCCGAATTTTTGATGATCCACCCATTATTTTTTCGATTACTTCATTTCATGCAGAGAAAACATATAATTCTAAACTATCAGCAAAGAATTTTGATGGATTCTATAATATTCTGAGCGGTGTCAAATTTTTGTATTAGATGATCGATTTAAGCCTAACACATGACTATATCACATAAAAAATTAAAAATAAAATTCATGTGTAAAAATCTAATGAAACTATCTATTAAATCATAAAGACAACATTCTTATGAGTAAAATGAAATAAAACCTTTGTCAATTAGTAGATTTACAACCCAGAAAAACACATCTGTTAATAGAGCCACAAAACAATTAATGTTTATTGACTCTTGCAGTAGGGGTAATGTGAGATCTGTTTAAAAAATCTTTTGGCAGTACAGTAGTACTAAACTTCTACTAACTTCATACGAATGACTCATCTTTCTTCTCCATTTACCAACAAACCCGATGACAATCAGGGAAACATGAGATAACTTACAGCGAGTTGAAATTTGATATGTTTATTTTTTGCGTTTTTTTCATCAAATTATGTAAAAATAAATATTAAAAAAGCAATTTTGTCAATATACATGTAATGTATACCACTAAATAGAAAAAGAAGTGCAGAATTCGACAAAAAAATTATTTCTTTATGGGATAGATAAAATTGAATAATTTTATATTAAAAAAAACACTGGGTCTAAGAGATCCATGTGACTCAAGTAAGGAAACCATTCCTAGCGACTCACAAACTGTTAAGTACCTTCTCATGGTCACGCCAGTGCTGCCAGCTAAAAACACGCACACCAACAAAAATAATATTGGAGTAGCCCAAGACATAGCCAAAGATTGCAGCGCAATAGCACTAGTGGAATTTAAATTTGCCAAGTGGAATGCTTTTAGTTAATTGACGTTTCAGTTGATCGACATTTGGATAATCGATGCTATACTGTAATTTTACTTTATTTTTTATTGTAATTATTATTTTTATAATACAGGATGTCTCAAAAGTCACAGAAATTTTAAAAAAAATCAATCTCTCTCAAACTATTTACATGATGCAGTTTTCACAGAAACACTTAGAAAGAAGCAAGATTTTTTTAGGTGTAATAAAAATTTTAGTACCAAAATTGTTAATTTCTTGCCATTAGATGACACTTGATAAGATTACATAATTTGTGTAGTTGTTACTAGAGCTTACACTAAGAACATTTTTATATTTTAATTCTTATTTTAACAAATTTACAAATGTTCAATATGGTGCCCATCATTCATGAGCACAGCTGTTAGACAAGGTATGACACTATAAACAGCATTAAAGAACATTTCAGTTGGTATTACTGAAACTTCATGTTGGATAGAGTTCTTCAACATGGATAATGAAGTTATCTGATGTCTATACACCTTTGACTTGGCCCATAACCAAAGTCACAAGGTGAAAGGTCTGGAGACCTTGGAGACCACTCATGTGGAGAAAAGCAACCGAGGACATGGTTCTCTCCAAAGATTGTCATAAGCAGTTGTTTGGCAGGAGCAGAAATGTGTGGAGGTGCTCCATCTTGCATGAATGTTATACAGGTAAGTTCTTGCCTGCTTTCAGTTTCTTACAGCACTATCTAGATGACCATCTAATGGCAAGAAATGTAACTATTTTGGTACTAAAATTTTTATTCTTTCTAAGCATTTCTGTGAAAACTGCATCATCTTACTGTAGATAGTTTGTGAGTTATTAATTTTTTTAAACTTGTCACCCTGTATATATATTACAGGTATACCTTGCTTTACGTCGGTAATTGGTTCCAGGAGAACGACTTAAGTCGAAAAATGACGTAAGTCGAATTTACTTGTCTCCGAATCTACTTGCCACTAGGCTAAACCATAAATTACCAATTCCCGTTCTGTATTTTATTTATTAATGCATTTTTAATAATATATGGTTAATAAGGATCTATTTTAAGCTTACAAACAAATAAATTTTAGTTTTTAATATAGTACAGAAAAAAGTAATTTAAATTTACGAATGCATATACTGTAAATACAGTATATACTTGTAAATGTATACATTATAATATGATTTTATGTGCTTTAAACATTTTTCTAGTGATATTACGACTTCAATATTTGTGGCAGACAGACGTAAAGTCGAATAAAATGACTTAAACTTGATTTTTATTTTTCCATATATTTTTTGACAAACGATGTAACTCGAAACGACATAACTCAAGATATACCTGTATAAGTGAAAAGAAAATAATACTGTGATTATAACAGAACAAGTATTACATTTAATGGGAAATCTGTTGTTTATTTGATGATAATTTTTCTATCTGAAGTTCATAATTAGTAACTTTGAGTAATTAGTCATTAAAACAAATTAGTCATTAAGACTTTTCACAACACCTTCAAGACCTCGTTCTCACTGAAAAATTTTAACTTTGCACATTTAGATTTATATATAAATGTGCAAGTTACAAAGTTATTTATAAAAACTAATACTTTCTAAACTTTCAAAACAGGTATCTTGAAATCATTGCATGGGTCACAGGATTACTATATACTATAATTTAACAACAAAAACTTTTTAATACTAATGCTATGTTACTTTATAATCTCTTTTGAATCATTAAAACAAAGAAGAGAAATTTTTATAAGCCATTTCATTCATGATGTGTTACTGTGTTTCATATGTCCTAAAATCACAGATATTAAATGCAAGGTGGAAATAAATTTAAACATATTTATAAAGTTTCCAAAACTGCTGGGTGAAGACAAAAATACTTACCTTCTTAAGGAAATTACTTTGAATAATAANTACCTTTGCAATAGGTATGGTAACAATTCTACTGTATGTACTGTAGAAAACAATAAAACAAATATATCACTTCTGCTTTCAGTTCAGAATATAATTTGTCAATATTCTTTTCTACAAATTTGTACATCAGAATTATTTTAGTTTTTGCTTTTTTTTTTTTAAAAAAAATCATTTTATACCACAAGTTTGTATGTTTCCATTAATTAATTTTGAGATGTAGTTTTTCTCCATCAAAAAGAGTAATTTTTATAATTCTTTTAATTTGATAAGTTATTTTATTAAGTATTGTACCCAAAACATTCCTGATACCAATATTGATAATGCTATTTTTTTCTTTTTCTCAACATGAATTCTTATCCATAGCTAAGATGTATTGTCAGATATTGTTTAACTTAATAAAATATTATCTATGGTGAACTATATATAATGATCTCCATGTTTGTGAATAATTGGAACCAAGTGATCCTTCATAAACATCAAATTGTTGAGCTTTTGAGTTCTATTTTCAACAAATTTTGTAATTTTTTTCCAAGACTATGTATTACTACTGTTTTAAAAAATTTTCAGAAAAATGAACAATTTTATTAAATAAATATAGTATGCAATTGGTTTATAATGCTGCAAAAGTCATTTTATTTTAGCAACAAAAAAAACCACAGTAAGAGAACTTATAACATACACCATAAAATGAGTGAGTGCAGTGAACTTTTAGCATCTGTGCAAATTGGGATGTTCAAGAAGGCACAATGCTAACTCCAGTTTACAGTGATATGTGTTCTATTTCCCAAAAGGTTGAAACCTTTCACAAGAATTAAAATTTTGGTACATATATTTCCAATCACGAATGATTGAATTTCCAAACACTGACATCCATGAACATTGAGGATATAGTGTAAAATAAATGTAACATAAATTTCTAATAAATATTTCAAACCTATTAAGTNATTTTTAAACATAAAAAGATTTATTTTTATCCCTGATTTATTAATTAAATATATTCAACCATAACAACAATTTACTGATAAACGATTTATCTAAGTGAGCATCTATCTATATATAATTAAAAATATGAAGTATAGTGAAGCTTACAGATAACTGTTTTTCTCTGTGATCAGACACTTCAGTTTCTTCTTGACTGGAAAATTTATGTTCTTTTCTGAAATATATAAAATTTTTAAGTGATTAGAATAAGATTAATATTGCTTAACATATTAATATAAATTCAATTATTAAAAACCAATGGGATTTGTATATATTGAAGGACTAAAAATAAAAAGTTTTTAGTTAAAAAACAAGTAAAAATATACTCTTTCTATTTACGACTTTTCTATAGGTCAAAACTAACAAACAAGTGACAAGGAATAACTAGACATTACCATTATTATTTTATTATTGATACAATCCAAATGCATTTCACCATCAGGCCTCTTCAGTAGATACATCAAGATATCAATTGCTGGTTACGCTTTATATCCAGCAGTCGTTCCCAGCATGCATCAACAATCATTCCACCATTCAAATAAAGTACATTTGCATGTTTGGTGATGCAAAGCTGTTCTACAATTTTTTTTTCTAAATTAACTATTAACTATAAATCTTACTGTCCTATAGGAAACAAAAAGAATGTTTTTATTATGGAATTGAGAAAGATATTGAATCAAACAACTCTGCAAGAAAATATAGATATTGAAGTAAAACAATTGTTTTAAAAAATTTCTGTTAAATGATTATCCAAAGTATATCCTTTGTAAGTGGTATAATTTATATTTAAAATGTAGATTTAATGTTAAAAATGACATATAAAATATTTCTTATGTAAAGTTTCCTTATGTTACTAATATTTTTGAAAAATACAAACTGATATTTAAAGAATTTTCTATATGTATAGTTGCGAATCAAAAGAATAAAATGTCAAATATTATCAGTATAATAAACAGTGAAAATTCGTCCAGAGATCAATTTAAGATCGCCGGTGTTGTATACAGAATGTCATGTACATGTAGAAGTCCAAATTATTACATCGGGGAAACCGGAAGAAGATTGGAGTTGAGAATAAAGGAACATGGCGGCCATTAGATTGAGAAGGACGGAATCAGCATGGTTTTTACATTGTAGAGAATTTAATTGTAATATAAATAGAAAAAATACTAAAATTCTGTATAAAATAGAAAATAATTTCGAAAGAAAAACTGTAGAACATTTTTGCATCATCGAATATGCAAATGTACTTAATTTAAATGGTGGAAGGATTGTTGATGCATGCTGGGAACGACTGCTGGATATAAAGCATAACCAGCAATTGATATCTTGATGTATCCACTGAAGAGGCCTGATGGTGAAATGCATTTGGATTGTATCAATAATAAAATAAGAATAGTAATGATAAAGTCTACTTATTCTTTGTCACTTGTTTGTTAGTTTTGACCTATAGAATCTTCAAAGTTGGAAATAGAAAGAGTATATTTTTACTTGTTTTTTAACTAAAAACTTTTTATTTTTAGTCCTTTAACATATTAATTTATTTAATTATACACAAGTAATTACAAGATATACTTTGATGTAGTGTTACAAAGATATTTTATTATATCAATCATATATAAATTAGAGTTATATCAAATAATAATTTAAAATATTATCTATGGTGAACTATATATAATGATCTCCATGTTTGTGAATAATTGGAACCAAGTGATCCTTCATAAACATCAAATTGTTGAGCTTTTGAGTTCTATTTTCAACAAATTTTGTAATTTTTTTCCAAGACTATGTATTACTACTGTTTTAAAAAATTTTCAGAAAAATGAACAATTTTATTAAATAAATATAGTATGCAATTGGTTTATAATGCTGCAAAAGTCATTTTATTTTAGCAACAAAAAAAACCACAGTAAGAGAACTTATAACATACACCATAAAATGAGTGAGTGCAGTGAACTTTTAGCATCTGTGCAAATTGGGATGTTCAAGAAGGCACAATGCTAACTCCAGTTTACAGTGATATGTGTTCTATTTCCCAAAAGGTTGAAACCTTTCACAAGAATTAAAATTTTGGTACATATATTTCCAATCACGAATGATTGAATTTCCAAACACTGACATCCATGAACATTGAGGATATAGTGTAAAATAAATGTAACATAAATTTCTAATAAATATTTCAAACCTATTAAGTTTATATTATTTTAAATAATTCACTTGAACAATTTTGGGAATTCTGAAATTTTTCAATTAATTATATTTTCTATGATAGAGTTAACCTATTGTGAGACTAATCGGGGGTAGGATATTTACGAGGATGTTCCTCTCCTACCACTTACTCGACTCAAGACCTTGAGGTCCGGTCTCGCTTGTCTAAAGGATGGGAGAAAAAAGGGTTAGGAGAAAGGATCGTTAGATTCTTTCACCTGTCAGGATCTGACACCAATCTATCAATTTATCGTGGATAGATGGGGAGGAATTATCACAAGCGATCTCGTCGAGGACTTCGGGTTCAGTATGGAGGAGATAATGGTGGAAGAAATGTACTCCAATCGTTCGTTAACAAAATACCCGTTTATTCCGTACATTTATACATAGTTAATAATTTGAATACAAATCCCTCTCGGGGGTTCAATCTGTATAGTTCATAAGTAGCAGGCAAAATATAAAGTAGTCGCGCCCCTAACCGCAAGTTTGGAATATTCGAATAGCGAGAGAGCTTACATATCCTTGCGTGTAGGATAAATACCTCTGATTAGGTTGTTATTACGTTGATCCGAGGTTCGTCCTTCCAAGTTCAAAAAGTTCGAAGTCGATGTTCAAAGTCTATTAAAGACGGTGGCGACGAGATGCAGGTAAATCCACGGGCACACACTCACAGTATAGAGAAAAGAACGTAATTTTCCCCCTTGTTGTCATCGCACTTGTCTTTTATATGGGGGCTCTCTTTTCGAGATTTCCCCATGTACGTCACAGGTGATGATCTTCGTTGACCAATGATGGGCGAAGTGACAAACTTATGACACAACAGTTAAATCATCTTCTACAAGGAAGTATTGTCGTGGGAACGGAGTTTTTATGAGCGATTTTTATGAGAAAATTTGTCGGTTGTTTTTCCCTTTTTTGTGTTAACCCTAACTTTTAATCTAATGAATAAAAATATTCGAATCTTAAATCCGGGCCCTCACACTATCCTATGTTGAAACATTTCTCCGATGTGTGTCACTCATGTTGAATTTTTGTTGATGTAACATAAATTTAAGTTAAATGTTACCTAACGAAAATTACACGTTTTAGAAAAAAAAAATAATCGTTGCTATTGTATCATCCAAAATTATTTTTTATTTTGCACAAACAAAATAGACATATTAAAAAATGTAAAAACAAAAATTTATTTTTCAGAAGTTAGTTTTAATATGATAATTATGACGAGTAGCGAGATCTAGTGTCATAAACATTCCAATGCAGAAACGAGATATCTCAGGTCCAACAGACCAGGTCTTTATTTTTCAGCATGAGATAACTCAGAATAACACGGAACAGGTTAAACAAATATAAAATTCACTTTTATGACAACTTAAAAGGGGTTTTTCAGACAAATAAACCAAAATGTTATTTCCTTCAAATCCAACTGAACATGTCTGGGATCACTGGGATGCAAACTGGACAGCCTAGGAGTTTGGCTGAATTAGAGGACTGCTTGCAGCAACTGTAAACAAGATGCTGCGAGATGCCATACAGCACCTGTATGCTTCCATGCCTGCCCGTATCACATCATGTATTCATGCTAGAGATGGCCCAACAGGGTAGTAGAACATCCTTTCATTTGTAGTTTTTCCTGCAATAAACAATCCTTTTGCTTTCATTTTGTAATCACTTACTTATATCACAATTACCCTCATATATGTACAATTTCGTTGAATTCTGACAATTCCTTGGTGAACTAATTTTTATGGCAACGAGTGTAAAGGAAGATTTTAATTTAAGTCATCATCATAAGATAGAATATACAATTATACACTTAACGTAATACACTGATTAATAGAAATAAAATTTAAGTCATTGCCAACATCACAAATGACTATTTTTAGTACTAATTAATGGGATTTTTGACATTCAAAATTGTAAAATTTATTTATGACAATGAATCGCCTCTCATTTATGAGAAAAAGTTTCTTAAAGTTGTAGAAAAGTCGTTTAAAATTTTTTTAAAAACAGAATCTGGCATTTTTGTTTGAACTTATGAGACAATGATGCTGTGGTGTATAAACAACTGTTTGAATAGTAACAGTAGCCATTTCAAATAATACCTTTGCAATAGGTATGGTAACAATTCTACTGTATGTACTGTAGAAAACAATAAAACAAATATATCACTTCTGCTTTCAGTTCAGAATATAATTTGTCAATATTCTTTTCTACAAATTTGTACATCAGAATTATTTTAGTTTTTGCTTTTTTTTTAAAAAAAAAAATCATTTTATACCACAAGTTTGTATGTTTCCATTAATTAATTTTGAGATGTAGTTTTTCTCCATCAAAAAGAGTAATTTTTATAATTCTTTTAATTTGATAAGTTATTTTATTAAGTATTGTACCCAAAACATTCCTGATACCAATATTGATAATGCTATTTTTTTCTTTTTCTCAACATGAATTCTTATCCATAGCTAAGATGTATTGTCAGATATTGTTTAACTTAAAGTTTTGGAGATTTCAAATAAGTTATAAAGTTTTGTAATTGGTTGTTAGCTTAATAATAATAATAGTTCTAATGATAAGGTTGCCATATATTATCTATACACAAACACATCTCTAAAACAAAATTAATAAATATATATTACATCTGATATAAACAAATAAACAAAAAAATTTAAATAGCACAGCTCTGAAATATGACTCCCTTATTCATAAACTGTAGTATCATTATTAATATAAGTGAATTTTTTGTTGTATTATATTTTAAGAAATATTAATAAATAAATTTAAATTTTTTACTTTTTAAGAATCATAAAAGTTTGAAAATTAATATCAATATGGCAACTATTTATACATATTATTTTATTTTGCATAAATTTTCATATTTAGCAACATTAGCATACTTCATTCAAACAGAAAAAATACTCAAAGTTTGAAATGCTTGTAACAAACCAAGTTAAAAATTTATAGAAATTTTTTGTTAAATTTTTTAGCTTAAAATCTAATCCAAATTGTTAAAAATATTTTAATTCATGTGTGTCCTATTTATAATTTTCGAAATATGGTCACCAAAAGTAAAAAAAATAGATAGCAATGTATTTAAAACTGCACAAATATTCAAAATCATCTATATCAAAACTTATGTAAACAATATAATCTTGGTAATCTGACTTACATAGGATTGGAACAGTACCAGATTAAGAAGATTACTAGGGAACCTATTCTGAATAGTATCGTTAAGCTAACGAATACAATAAAAACCAGTTTCTATCGGAACCATGTGATTTGCGTTTAATCAACTGTGAAAATGCTATTCCAAGCCGTATGTTTCGTTTTCAGTTCCAATAGCCACATGCGATAACTAAGCTTTTGTTATTGATCACTCTCGAGCTGCCGTTAGGAACGTAACAAAAGTGTAAACAACATGGCGTCTTTTGGTGTAAGAATGATTTTACTTCACGAGCAATTGGAGAGAGAGTTAATAAACTATGTTGTTGTATTGCTTAAAAATAATTACCTTAACTATTTATGAATATTGTAATTGCTTTCTTGTAAAAATTTAAAGTAAGTAGCTATAATATGAACATTATTTATGAAATAGGTTTCATTCGCATATGTATAGATTAAAATGATAGTCATATATTTATATTCAAAGCTATCAGTTATTTTTTGCCATCTTTCTGGATCTTTTTGTGAGCCGACTCCATCGGAATTCAGACGGTCAGTTATTTCTTGCCACAATTTCTGGCGATCTTTTACAGTAAAGGAAGCATCTATCTTCCCTGACATTAATTTAGGGTTGTCTTCCATAAAATTAACAAGCATCTCAAACTGGCAACTTGTAGTTTGCTGGCTTTGTTGTCCTTTCTTCGACATTTTAAAACGAAACTATTTCACTAGCGCTGGTACACGACAATGCTAAAACCGCATGCTTCACTTAGAAAATGGCGGGTTGCAGTCACATGACAAAAATGCAATGTTAACTAAACTGTGATTGGTTAAAGCATAATAGCTATCGATAGCATGGAAACCAGATGCATCTCGATCAACTACCTGTAGTGAAACCCACTTAATGTGGAGCACAGAATAGCGATTTGTCTAAGGTTCGTTAACTGCCTTTCGCTAAGGGGACTTATCTAGTGTCTCGTGTATCGCTTTCGCTGAGTTATCGGAATAGTTCATAATAGGTCCCCAGATTATTGAAAGACACACATTTTGATGAACTCATGATTTAAACACAATAAAAAAAAAAAAAATTGAATACAAATGATGTAATGAAAATAATTGCATGCATAAATAAGACAGCATGGAGTCAACTGCAAAACAAGTTGTACTACTGATCAAAACACCTGTGATTGCTGTTGCTAGTAGTCAGGTTGCCAAATGGGTGAATTTCTACTAAATTTACTGAAAACTGTAATTTGAACTAGATGAAAACTTGTCTATGATTTGGCAATAGTTCCAATAACACCTGAGAATCAAATGGACATGTCAAACTAGCAAATGGCTATATCTCTGAGATTAGATTGTTATTTCATATACAAGAAATCACATTTTCAAACTAAACCAGTCATTAAACAATTAATACTGCTAATTTTTAAAAATAGCAACTTAATTCATTAGTTCAATCTTTATTTTAATTATAATTTCAGAAATGTTGATATGACATAATGAAACATATTAGTATAACTTCCTGCGATTAACCAGTGTATATCCTATAAAAAATTGCTAAAAAAGAAAAACAGAAATATATATATATTTTTTTTATGTTACTCATATTGCTGAAGTAGCCATTGAAAACCTAAATCTAGCAGTCTATGCAGTTTAGATATATCAAACATTTTTTTTTTTCATTTTAGTTAGAAGTCCATTGTAGATATAATTTTAACACAAACGAAATGTGTAAAAACAATATTTGATATGGAACTGCCTAGACTGTATTATGTTTTAAAAATGAAACAGCCATTAAATGATAAATTTTTTATTGTTTCATTTGTTTTATTTATCAAAGGATATTATTATTTAAATCCATCATAGTATTTATTACTATATTAGCTAGAACAGTAAAAAAATTAAATTGGAAAAATTTTCAATGTCAATAATAACCAATGACATGAGTTTGAGAGTTGGTAACTTAGCTTGTATTTGCTATAGAGAACTAAGATAGGACAAAGTCAATAGTTGGCTTCTAAACAGTTCTTGAGTGTTGTTATAAATAATATATATAGTTAGGAGTATTAAGTACTGGGGTTGGATGTCACGCCAACAGTTATCTCAATCAAGCATTAATGCGGCCATAGCTCCCTTGATCAGACGGGCATTCTTACTACCATCGACACAACAACTTATCAATACCAAACTGGAAGCTGTCCGCACAGCGGTGTATGCGGCCGGATTTAGTGCCTCCAAATACATCCATGTTAAAAATAGAGTCATACAGTCTCTCTTCCCTGCCACCACATTGCGCAGACCAATGGATTGGACAACGCTCCGTCCCTCACTCCCATACTGTGGACGCTTCACGGCCCGGATCTGCCGGATCTTTAGGCAGAATGGCTTTCGTTTACCTATTGCCCCACGACCATGTCTGCGACGAATCTTATGTAATGATAGAGATGCTATTTCCACCCTGGAAAAATCTGGTGTATACTCCGTTCCCCTGCAGAATCCAATATCAGGACTATGCACCAATTATATAGGAGCGACTACCAGAATGCTGGCTGCCCGCATATCTGAACACCAACGTTCGGTGGCACTTGGCAATTGCGACACGGAACTTTCCAAATTGGTGATACAACAACATCACATAGCGCTTTGGAATCGGGTGGAAATACTCAAACGTTGTGATGAAGGGAGCTTGATATATATTTGGGAGGCCATCCTCACAAAACTGCTCTCCCCGTGCAACTCCCCTACCCTCGACTTACCGGACGTCTGGATTAATATATACAGGCGGTTAAAAAATCAACAATAATTTTACATTCTTTTCCCGCACCTCCTACATGACTCAAAGCGCATACGTGTCGGCCTCTTTATGTGCGTCTTTTTACGTGTTTTATGTATTTTAAATTATGTCCCATGCTTTAGTCTTTAATATTTAAATATTAATGTAAACTAGCACTTATGGATCTATTCTGTTCGGTTTCTATGCTGTCTATGTTAAGGCGCATGCGTGCCAAAAATTTTATACGTATTTACAAAGGGTTTTTAATTTTAATTTAAAATGTAAAATTTACTTGTTCTTAATAGCCACCCTAATTGGCTCTTATGTTATGCATGTTAAGGTGCATGCGCGCCAGTTTTTCGCATTTACAAAATAATTAATAGCCATTCCAATCGAAGTTTATTTGTTTTAAAACACATGCGTACCAATTTTAAATATTTTTAAATGTTTTTAATTCTAAAATTTAAATCTTATTTATAATAGTTATATTCAAAAAACGGCTAATATCGTTAATGTTTAAATATACATTAACTTGAACCATACTACCATACTACCTTACTATAATTTGAACCATACATTTAAGTATGGTTCAAATTCTCTGTTCGATTTTGAATTGCCTGAAGACGACGTGCATATTTACGTCGAAAGCGCTCGCAAGAATAAATTATTTTTAATAATATTTAACACCTCATAGTCTGAAGTTTTGATTGTTATATATATAGAGAAAATTACCTGAAACTTACCAGCTTTCAAGATACAAATTTAGATAGAAGTATCTAACAATATCAATTAAAGCATGGATTGACACAAAGTAAATAGGAGAATACTAAAAGTGAGTATTCATTTACATGTTTCAGGAAAAATTATGACGACAAACAAGCAATTACTTATTGTGACATCATCATAATGCCAGGCTGCAATTTTTCATCTATTTAATTTAAAATGTGTGCTCTCCACCTCAAATTATTACTGTAGTGTCTTGCCCTGTACATCACACTTTTTCTTTAAGAGTTGTGCCAGTCATCTATCTAGGGGAAAATTTTAAAATAGAAATAACATGACTTCCAGTTTGTATTGGAAATTCATATATAGTTTATCAGAGCCTCCTGCTCCTAAGGTCTTGTCTTTCATCTATCTAACTCCATTCTCAAGATTAAGGAAGGACAGACAGATGAATGGATGATAGTGGGAATTTATAGGTTTATAACTTTTTCAAACTGCAGTATGTCTATGGCATACAAAAGATTTTTCACATTTTCTAAAGATGCTCTTAATAAGTTTAGACAAAAGAAAAGCTGTTTGATGAATTCACAGTTACCAGTTAAAACTGACAGTAATGCACATTGCATAACCTGCATCTGCTTTCAAATCAACTTTTAAATACAGATAACATATGGTTATCTACATAAAATTGTGGAAAGTATTTTAAAAAATAATTCTGCTATAACATTATCAAGTTCATAGATTATATTGTTTCATTTCATTAAATTTTTAAATTAGTGTTTGAGGCTGTAATACTTTAAATCGACAAAATAAAAAATTTATTTACTTACTTCTGCTCTTTTGGACTTGACTTCCTATTATGCTCTTCATGTCGATTTTGATTGACTGATGAATCATATTTTTGCTCAAGCTTTCTATACCCTGGACTAGTACTCTGATAATTCCTATTTCCATAACTTCTATAATGTGAATCACTTCTATCTTCTCTGTTTTCATTTTTATTTTTACTTTTTCTTCCCCATCTTCGATTTGCTTCTTGACTATCAGAACTTTCACTACTATTTGAATGTTCTCTTCTCCTTTCTTTTCTAATATAATTATTTTCATCACTACTTTCAATATTGTGAGATTTACTTTTATCACTCTCAATTCTCCTCCTTTTCGATTTTGATTTCTCTGTGTTACTTTCACTACTATCACTACTTGAGCTTGAACTTCTTTTATTGTGCCCTTTTCTTTCTCTGCTTTTACGTTTATCATCTTCAGAACTGCTATCTGAAGATGAACTTCTTTTCTTTGGAGTTTTTCTCTTATAATTGCTATTAATATTTTTATTTTTATTGGTTTCCTTGGAATCTATTTCCATATCATCATCATTGTCATCATCTTTCATCTTTCCTTGAAACTCTGAATTTGGATTTGACTTAAGATTATCTTCATTATCTTTTCTTCCAGAACTATAATCATCATCCTTTTCTGAATTTTTATTAGTTTTATGTTCATTCCATTTTCTCTTCTGATCATCTTTAGTCATGTAAGTCTGATTATCAGCAACAGATTCTGCAGGTTTGGGCAATTCCTCCAGCTTTTTTCTTTTTAATTTAACTGGTTTGCTTTTCGTATGCTCTTTATCACTAATGGAAGAAGCTTCTTTAAGCTGTCCATAAGGTACTTGTTTATTGGCATAATCTAATGTTTCATTAATTACATTAGTTTTTTCATTGTCATAATTTATATCATTAGTATCAGGGTTTTCTTCTGAAGTCTCTGGTATACTAACTTTTTTAATATCTTTATCAAGAAAGGTTTCTGTAACATCATCACCTTGTGCCATTTCAACTTCTGGTATCTTATTATTTATGTGATCTTTCTCTGTATCAGGAACGTCAGAATATGTATTAGGTTTCTCTTCCTCTTGTTTTGTTTCTTCAACAGATATATCTTTTATTTGGCTTGTGTCCTCAGGAATACATGCAGAATTATTTTGATTCTGTAAAAGAAATATGATAATGTAAATTTTACAAAAATAAACAATTTAACACCAAAATGGTCTTAATTTAAATTACTAAATCTATTATTTACTATTAATAATTTTGTTAAAATATCTCACTATTATTAACAGCAAGATTTTAGACAACTTTATTAAAAGATTTTTTGTATATTTAATAACTATTGAATTAATTTATAACTATTAACATACAAACACATTTCACATATAAGGTGTAATCAAATAAAATGATCACGAGTGTCATAGCAACCACCCCCAGCAAGATATCAAATAGCCTGTTATATATATTTGATACTGGCAACAACTTTGAACAGGCATTGATAACAATCACAGACAGTTGTGTTACCATTCAGTAACTTTCTAGGACAAAAAAAAAAAAGGCATTTTGAAAAATTTGTCTGCTGGAGAACAACGTACAATAATACTTTTCCTAACCACTGAAACAATATGCTGATCAGCATTCAATGTAGACTAATTTTTATATATAATAAAGAACTGTCATGGAAAACAGTCCACCAAGTTGTAGGTGCAGTACCAGAAAGATTTGAAGCTTGGTGGAATGACACAATCTGATCAAGCAAACATCATGATCAATCCAAATTCACTGGCTAGGTGGATAGACTTGTGAAAGCAGATTGTTGTGTCACCTTACAATCTAAAGAATTTATACATTGTACCAGCCAAAAGATCACATAAGTGTAAAAGGTGTCTTTTAATATAGACTTGTTCCAGTTTTATTTTTCTTCTGCAAAAAAAATTTAAAACCTATTTTTATCTATAAATAGAACATATTAAAAAGATCAATTAGTCGATCAGTATGAATTTCTCAATATACATTATATTGTTTATTCATAGTTATACATTATAACAATATATTAACACATCTTGCACATTTTAATCAGTTCACTATTAATATGTATTTTCAAAGCACATTTGATTTAACGTACTTTCAACACTAACAGACCTTGATTTAACAGACTATTTAGTCTGTTAAATCAAGACTTCTGAAAAATTGACAAATTATATGAAACAGAACTAGCCAAAAAAGTAAAAAATACTATTAACAGAATACATTAAGGAGAATGGTACATTTGATTTACGAAGTACAGCAGAGTCTCACAAATTTAATTTAATGTGGACTGAGATGATGAGGAGTTACTGAAAATGATGAGTTTTACAACATAGCGATGATGCTACTTTAAATAGTGGAATTTTTGTGAAGATATTTTATATATTAACTATGTATCAGTAGTGATTATTTCTATTTTTAGTTAAATTTTAATTTAAAAAATTGTTGACTATTTAGTGACAACTTGTTGAGTTAGTGGCATTTTGCAGCGATATCATGGAAAAAAAATTATATTGTTTGTTAACACATGGAAATGATTATCATGAAGCGTTACCAGTGAAGAACAATTTATTTCACCTTAGTGTTAACTTAGAGATAAAAATTATAGTACATGTATTTATTTTTAAAATGATACGACAAGTTTTACAGAATGTTTAGTCATCAAGAGTCACATTTCCAAAACTCAACTGTAGTACAATACTCTTTTATGATAGAAGCTATTTTTTTTTTTTTTTTTTTTGGGCTATGGTGAAAACGATTTGTAAAATAAATTAAAAACATATCCTAGAAAATGGAAATTTACTTGGCATTTGCTATGATCTGTTTGTTTATATTTTTAATTATTTTTATTTTTTAAAATTAAAATAAGAAAATTAACTTCATTGTTTCTTGTAAAAAGTTTTTTTATGGATGAAAAATGTATGTGGTCAACTTTCAATTACTAGTACTAAAACACTTACAGAACCACCTTAAATAAAAACTCCAGTAAGTCACCACCTATAGAAAGACTAATGTTTTCAATACTAGATGGAGGATTGAAAACATTAGCCTTTTTATGGGTGATGACTTACTGGAGATTTTATTTAAGATTCTGAAGTGCTTTAGTACTATATACTTACATTCCAGTCTAAAGAATTGTGAGTAGAACTTTCAATTATCGTTCCAATTTTTTTCAAATCTTGATATTTATGCTTGAAATATGTATACAGTTTTTGCCCCCGGGCCAAATTGGAAAGAAAACTTTTTCCACAGGCCAAACCAAAGGTTGCCCTAAGATGATTTTGAGGTGGTACGAGATCTCATTGTGGTGTCACCCCGTAGAGACTGAATTGTAGATAGAGATTACAGATACATTTCTCACATTATCATGCTTTATCAACACTCTATACTGTACTTAAGAGATTTGTAATGGAGGGTTAACTCTAACAACCCTGCTTCTGATATGATGTCATCACTCAAATTTTTAAGATATTCATAAACTAATCTTAATTTTATTCTAAATTACGTTCCAATGTCCTCAAATTNCGGGTGAACTATTAATTTTGTCCGGGAATATCGTGCGCAACCTGTCGACCTTTTTTTTTTTTCTTTTTTTTTTTGGGCATCAGAAGTTTTCATTGAGCTATTTGAAAGACTGATCGCGGGCCACATAAATTCATTAGATGGGCCGGATCTGGCCCGCGGGCTGTATGTTGGCCATGCCTGATATAGAAAAATAATAAATTGCAACTTCAAAAACAAATTTAAAAAAATTTAAGATAGTAATATGCTTTAGTTAAGTAACATATTTCATTAAAATAGGTAGCTCATGCATTTGATGGTTATATCAAATACTGTAGAATTCACTTATTGTAATTATGAATGTTATCAGTCTTCTAACATTACATTCTAAAATTAACGTTTCAAGACATATAAATTTAAATAACCTAATATAAACTTTATTTATTGTAATCAGAATTTACTAATAGCTATCACTACATGCAAATAAATAGGCAAAAAACATTCTTTTCATACTATTTGCTGGAAAATGTGGCATGCAATCATTGTCAGTTTTAACCAATGCTCGAATATTAATTTTATTATTATTATTTGCATTTTAAATAGTTGGCATTTCTTATGTCAGTTATACCTAGAGTTGCTTGATTTCTGTGACTGAATTAAAGGACACTTAAAATGATTAATGCTACTGAACTTTGACTCATTTAACATCATTTAATTTAATTTTTTTAGTCAATGCCTAAATGTTCTGTTTATATTAAAGAGGTTGCGGCCGACGTTTTCATTGCGAAAACGTGTACGTTGGATGTTTGGCACCGCCTTCCTGTAAGCCTAGAAGTTTGATAATGTCATTTGATACATCAAGCATGATACCACTGACATTCCAAACGTCATTGTCAAACTTCTAGGCTTACAGGAAGGCGGTGCCGAACGTCCGACGTACACATTTTCGCAATGAAAATGTCAGCCGCAACTTCTCTATTGTTTAGATTTTGATTTAAAAATTATAATTTTCATACTGAGTATAAATATTTGCAAATTTTAGTTTAATTTAGAGTTTATAATATTTAATGTAAACCATAGCTTTCTACAGGGGAAAGATATAGATTTATACATAAGGATAGGAATATGCCTATACAGAAATCTATCATTGCCATTACAAAACACAGACATTGAAAATAAAGATAAAAAAAATTGTGCTGTTCTTCATTTGAGTAAAGAACAAGAACAGTTTAATAAAATAAAGGTCATCTGGCAACTGTAAGTATACACTGTATGTAAAGACAATACTGAAAAAATAGAAAGCAAACAATATTGGATGAATTACTTAGTAGTAATTAATTCATATTAATAACAATAATATTAATAAACACCAGGTTACGTAATTTTTTAATTGTTTTAACATGTTCTTTTAATGTCAGTCAACAGAACCAAAATTTACATATTAATTGCCGTCTTATTTACTTATCCTGTTAATGTTATTATTTAATTATTGTTATCAGTATTGGCAAGTCCAAGTGATTAAAATAAATGATTTTTATTGTATCTATAAGAGTTGATCAATTGAAACCTTTTCAAGCTCCTTTTTAGAATTTTGAATAACTTTAATTGAAAAATATGTTACAACTTATTAGCGTGTCATTTGTAAATGCAAATGGGAATGTTAGGTTTTAGAAAAAACATATATCACTTTCTAATTACTGATCTTTACACAAGAGAATCTGGCCTAAAGAGAAGCAACTTAGATCAAATTTGGATATTTAATTAATTAGATATTAACTTTAATATAGCTGAAAACAATCAAACAATTTAGACTTGATTTTGGTCCAAGACAATAAACAAATAATTACAAAACAATAAACTGGAATAGAAGAAGACATAAATGAAACTGAAAATGGTAGTTAATCATCTATCTCTAGCCAAACTGATTTGTATCTAATTAGTTATTAGCCTTAATATAGCATGACAGATAATCTGGCAGATTGTTTGGTTACAAAAATATCAGATAGTTGTTCATTATATATAGAGTTATTACTATGAAGAGTTCAGAAATAGTTAAATTATTTTGAAAAAATTTTGTTTTTGTTAGTATTACAAATGGTTCACTCAAATTCATAATATTATCTTACTAAAATAAGTAAGTAAGTAAGTAAGTAATCTTTATTGGCGTAGAAGGCTTTCGCCTGTTACAAGGGCGTTTTAATTTTGAATAAACGCATATTAACATCTCATATAGTAATTTTTTAACATTATTAATATTTTCTATTTATTAGTCTATATAACCACATTAAAAATTTGACATAATTATTATTTAATTAGTTTTTTAACATAGTTATATAATATATAAATCGTGTTAACATCAGCACTATCTAATGTCTTGTACATTTCCATCTCACTAGTACATTTCGCTAGCGTCCCAATCTGGAGTCTTTGCAGTTTATCCTTTTCGTCACAATTTTCACATAAAATATGAATTTTAGATAGATTTTTGGTGCAATTTGGACATTTTGATTGAGTGTAATCTATATATTTGTCATTTATGATCATTCCATATTTATTTAACCTAATCTGTATAAAAAACTTTTTAACGTTAAAAGCTATGTTTGTCAATATATAGTTGTTGTTTACTGGATAA